CGGCTCAGGCACCACCGTTGCTTACAGTTCGCGCGTCACACGTTCTCTGAAGGTGTTTGTGATGTATCTATCCCCAAAAAAAGACGGAGACACAGGGAACATCAAGCTATCGCAAGCTTTTGTGTTGGTTGTAGTACCTTTCATAAAGGCGTGGGAGCCGCAAAAAGGACTCTGCCCACCTCATACTCCAGAAGGATCCACCCCCTAGGTAATCGTTCAGTGTGCCCTCAAACCAAACAAGTGGGATGAGGCATTTCACTTCTGATTTTCAATACAAAAAATCTTCTTAGCCTCGTTGTAAGGCAATGAGGTATTAGCTAATCTTATCTAGAAATGCAAAGAAAACTATGAAGCCAATAATACCCGAAGCTCGCTAACCAGCACATTAAGGCATAATCTCACATTATAATGCACAACTATAAAGCAGTTTCAATGAAGAAAAGCTAAGCATGAAAACTATACTCCAAAAACTACTCAGGACTACACTCTCTATACATCTCTAAATGATTTCTGATGAATGATGTAACTATATTGGAAACCGTCAAAGGTCTGCGAAAGGGCAAGACTGATCGTATCAATCATGGCCACTGTGATAGCACTGTCTGTTAACACCAACCATTTTGAAGGTCTTGAACTTTCCTCTCCAACGTCTGCATGCTTCCTACGGCCTCCTTCGTCTTCTCTAGGTTCTTTTGCATTTCATCATGTTGCGCTTTCAGATCATTCATGAGCTCAGTCTGAACAAGCGCTTATTCATTACATCCTTTGAAAAGTAATACAGTCCACGTAAAAAGTAATACAGTCCATGCCAACCTTGTCCCTCTCCAGTTGTTCAATTCGTTCTTTGAGGAATCGAAGTGTAATCTCCATGGAAGAACTTATATCCAGAAGCTTATCAGCGCCGTGTTCCATGAAGTGAACCTGAAGAGAACTCATACAGGAAGGAAATAACGTTTATGAAAAGAACTCACAGTTCTTTCCGGTGAGGTTCTGATGGAAAGGTCGTGTGAGCTTGAAGTTGTGCGAAGCATGGAGGTTGAATCGCCATAACCTGAACAACAATATTTCCTCCTGCATATCTCAAAAATTAGTGTCAAATCCCTTCATCAGAGATCCCTTTAGGCGTCCATACTTTACGGCAGCGTTCACCAGCGTCTGACAGCGACCACTAGCGTTCCGAGCGTCCGGCAGCGTCAGCGACTAGGAAAGTATAGATATCGATCTAGCGTCTGCCAGCGTCTACCAGCGTTCACCAGCGACCGAGAGTAGAGAGTATGGGGAAGTGGGAGGGTGGCAAACAGCTAGGATTAAGCGTTGTGATAGCGGTGTGTACAACCGCACCGCACAACTGCTAAAGTAGTACAGAATTATGCAATTTAATGTACGGTGTAGTGTAGCTGTACGGTGAGGTTGCACACGCCGCAATTTCACGACGCCTAATCCAGCTGTTTGCTACCTTCCTAGCGTGCTCCCCGACGCTCGGAACGCTAGTGGTCGATGGTGGACGCTTTGGACGCTGCCGCGAAGTATGAACGCAGCCTTAGCCCCGAATCTCTTTAGCATGAAAACATGCACTGCATCGGGAATGAAGTTCAAGCTGATTCTATCCCAGATAACAATTATCGATAGGGGTCTCAAAAAAATTCCAAAAAGAAGGATCGTAAATGGTAAATAGTAGCGAAATTTTTTCTAGTGACCACATTTTGGCAACGACGTAATTCGAAGATTACCTGATGATGCCGTGGTCCTCGGAATATCGACGATGGACTGACCGCCACGGAGCGTAGTAGAAGTGCCTGGAAAAGAACATTTTACCATTCATTTTGGGCCAATTTTGACAATTAACAGCGCTGAATGTAAAAAGAAGCGCTTGACATAATGACGGCGTTGGTCTCATACGCTTAAATAACATTTTCAGATAAACTGATGCGCAAACAAAGCGCAAAAGAACCATGGTGTGCTCTGCGCTTTCCTCGTTGGCGCGCGGCCTCCTCTTTACTGCATTAGAATGGGCGCACCAATGAGGAGGGCGCACCGGTTATGAGTCTCCGCCTGTTCAGTAGCTGTGGAATAACTCCTTAATGTGAGGACCTACTAATGAACGAGCATACCGGCTAGATTCAACGCCATTTTAGCACTTCGTTCATATTGATGTATTTTCTTCGTTAACTCAGCATTCCTCATTTCACCTTCCTCGACGCGTGCCTCCAAATCGGTCCGACGTTTTTCGAGGCGTTCCAATTTGGCACTGAAA